GAGTGTTGTTCTCTAATAAGGTTGGTGCAACTCAATGCTACGTTTTTGTTAGTTTAACCCATGATAGAGAGGGATATTAAGTCAGTCAGTGCTCAGACAAGCTAGGTTTTTGTTTAAACAGAAACCTGTTATATTATTTCTTTAGTTGTGTTGCTGTCTCCTGTGTGGACTTACAAATAAAATACCTGGATTATGTGAAAATAAAAGGACTGTGCCACTTGTTTACCCTAGAGGACCGTGCTAACTACAAACAAGGATCACAGCGTATAGAAGCTGGGCCCTCGTAAGTGAGGGTTACCAAGTCCTGCCATGTTCCGCCTTGTGGGTTAAATGAACCGAGTTCAACATCATGTCCAGTTCGACGCTTAGTGCCTGGGCTCCTCCCTAGCCTGTATGTTTGGGTGGGTGTCTCACCATCAAGGTTCTACGCTGCGAATGGGCACTTAGATAGTGGTAGCTTGCATTGAGAGCAGTGATATGTGTAGTGGCTGCAATGCGTGGATATACTGTAGGGCAGCTTATGGGTTCAGGCGGTTGAGGTTCTCAAAGTGTTGCAGCCTTTTAAGGCAGTACAGGCCTATATCGATATAACTAGGGCAGCTATGTAATGGGGTGACATGTAGGCATAAAGTTAACTGGGTTTACAAGGCAATCTGCAGGGCAGTAGGATTTTGAGGAGTGTGAGACTAAGAATGCATTGCCGTGAAGATAATATCATTGGATTGCTGGTTCGGAGAGAACCATATGTCATGGTGCCAAGCCAGAGGCGGGGGGGGGGGGGTATGGTACCCTTTGTCTGTGATAGTTCCATGTGGACCCATATCTTGGTGGTTGGGCGAGTGTGCAAATCCACAGTCCTAAGGACATGTGTGGCGTGATAGTATGGATGGAAGCACGGCGCCTCCTTGAGTTTTGGGGAGTTCCAGTTGCGCCATACTTTTCCTGGGTGCCCTCCCATTCCACACAAACCTCCATATTGTGTTGGAAATGGATTGAATGAAGGCTCTTGGTATGGTCACGAGTACCGTCTGGAACAGGTATAAAAGGTGTGGGAGGACGTTCATCCTCACCGCGTTGATACGGCTGAACCAGGAAACATACAGGCCTGACCATCGGTGTAGGTCGGTCTGTATGGCTGAAAGAATGGGGAGGAAGTTCTGTTGGTACAAGTGTGTCAGATCCTTCGGCTGCCAAACCCCAAGATATTTAAGTTTATCTGTGCACCAAGTAAAATGGAATTGTGTTTGCAGGTGAAGCCCCCTGTCTACTGGGAGTGTAACATTGAGAGCCTCCGATTTACTCATATTCAGCTTGATGTTCGACAGAATTCCGAACTCTCTAAAGGCATGGAGGAGGTTGGGTAAGGAGACTAGCGGATTGTCCAGGAAAAAAAGCATGTTGTCCGCATATGCTGCTACCCTGTGCTCCATGTGGTGTAGTTTGTACCCCATAATGCCTCCATCCCATCTGACCACCTCCAGAAATGGTTCTAGAGAGAGGGCAAACAGGAGGGGGGACAAGGGGCATCCTTGCCTGGTGCCAATCCGGATGGGAAATGGTGCAGAAAATGTGCCATTGATCCGGATGCGGGCAGACTGGGTTGTGTAAAGAGCCATCACCAGCAGTGGAGGTGAGGGCTGAATTGCATGTGCCAAAGCTTGGCTTCGAGGTATGTCCAGTGTAGCGGAGAGCTGATTTCTCACAGCTAAACTCCACCAAGTACTTTAAGAGGATGCAGGAACAAGTAATAAATCCAAGAGAATATCCAGCACAATCAGCATTACAATCCAATAATATCCCATCACTTTCCCCAATCACTGGATGACACACAGTATCAGGAGTAGAACTGAACTTTTAATCACACAACCTTCTTTTAAAGCATTCTCCAATGCAAGGGAGGGATTTACAGTAATTACACAATACACCAATCATACACGAGTTGCCACCCACCCACACATCCCCTCCCCTTAGTGTGACACATAATCCCATCATGTAGGACACAGTTCCCCTTGTTTTCTGGATGTACCCCTAAACCTAGGAGTACCCCTTTAAATATTACATCCCCTGGTAACCCTGATCTGGGTGCGACACATATCCAAAAATCACCCAGATCAGATCAGGGGTTCAGGAGTTATGGGGGTTTAAAGTTTTGTGGAGGTCCCTTTAGGCCCACTGAAGCATGGCTTTCCAGCCCAAACCAGTTCCAACTAGTCTGGCAGTGTGCCTGGGACAACGCCCTGCTGGAGAACAATGGGACAGGAAACGGGAGAGGGGTACACCTTCCTATACACAATCTATACACAGTCTAATAGAAGTCCATACACTGTGCTTAAAGGGCCAGTAGCCGCATAGTAAAAATCCATCATGCCCAAATACTGTCTTTAAAGGGCAATACCCCCAGGGCCATAGTCACATGGCAGGAGGCGGGCAACAAGCCCCTCCAAAAGCTCATGGCAAACTCTCTTAAAGGGTTGAGTTTGCTACATCCAGTCCACCCAGTCGAAGGCCTTTTCCGCATCCGTGGAAACGAGCACCAGGTCCTTGTGTGTCAAACGGGTGGAGTGGACTACGTTGAGGGCCCTGATGGTATTGTCCCTAGCCTCCCTACTGGGGACAAAACCAACCTGATCTGGGTGGACTAGAGTAGTTAACACTCGAGAGAGTCTCACTGCTACAGTTTTGGCAAATAGTTTAAGATCCTCATTCGGCAACGAGATCGACCTATAACTCCCACAGTTGGAGAGGTCCTTCCCCTCCTTCAGCAGGACTGCGACTGTTGCGCAGAGTGTGTCCGTCAGGAACCGGCTACCTGTCAGGACAGAATTCTAGCCCCGTAACATGTGCGGCAATAGAGTTTCTCGGAACGCGTGTAGGTATGAGACAGGGAGGCGGTCCGGGCCCGGGGCTTTGTTGGTCTTGGACTGTTTGAGGGCGGAGGAGAGTTTGTCTATGGACAAGGGCTGCTCTAAGTCGTCCGCCAATTGCACTGCAAGCTTTTGGTCTACATTTTTCGAAAGGGATTTGTTTGTTTATGCGGAGTTGGTGTTGGGGGGCCGCTGGAGTTTGGGCATTGGGTGCTAAATTGTACAACTCCATGTAGTAAGCCCGAAAGGCCTGGAGGATGCCAGCTGGGGTCCTAATCCCCATCCCATTATGCCTTTGATCAAGTGTATGTGGTTTTGCCTCTGTCTCTGTTGCAGGGTGCGTGCTAGTAACCTACCACATTTGTTGGAGAATTCATAGAAATGTCTGTTAGATTTTCGAATAGTGTGCAGTAGTTTTTGGGAGAGTAAGTCTTTGAGTTGTCTACGAGTGTCTGTCAGTTGTAGTTATGTGTCGTCCGTCAACTCCCTCTTATTTCGTGTCTCTAGGTCCGCTATTTTACATGACGGGACTAACATGTGGTTGGTGAATTCTTTTTTGCGTTGGGTGCAGTGTTTGATGAAATGTTCACTAATTATGCATTTATGCGCTTCCCACACCGAAAGCCACTTCGGGGTTAGCATTGTCTATAAAGTATTGGGTTAGCATTTGCGTTATGAGGTCGGCGTCAGTCAGCACGTTTTTGTTAAGTTTCCATTGGAATTCTCATGGTTTGAGAAGTGGTGATTTGAGGGTGGCAAGGACTGGGGTATGGTCTGATTCATGTTGGATCCCTATAATGGAGGAAACAGGAGGGGAAGGAATTCCTGAGCAAGAAATATGTAATCGATTCTACTGTATCGGTTGTGTGTTGCTGAATAGCATGTGAAGTCTTTAGCGTCGAGGTGTGCCACCCTCCAGCAGTCGGTCAGTCCCGCCCTGTGTAGGGCCTGCTTGGCCTTCCGAATGCAATGTGATTGGTACTTTTACCCCTGGAGGAGTCCATGCGAGGGTCCAGTGGTTGGTTGAGATCACTGGCTAGCACCAAGGTGCCATCACGGAACCCTTCCAGGAGGAATAGGGTTTTAGCTATGAACAGGTGTTGACCTTTGTTAGGGCAGTAGATTGTGGAGAAGGTGAATTTTTGGTCTGCTATTGTGCTTTTTACAAATTTGAATCTACCCATTGGATCAGCATGTGTTGCGGTACAGTGGAACGGCACCGTCTGGGCGAAAATTATCAACACGCCTGTTCGTTTAGCGTCTGGATTATTTGCATAGTAACCCATGGGGAAATGTCTATCGCTGATCATGGGGGCAGTTGTCTCCATTTTTCAGGGGTGTTAAGCCCTCTAACATTATAAGACCATCGCTGTTGGGGAGAGGGGCGGAAATCCGAGGCCATGGTGGTGCCAGCCGCCAGGTGGACGAGGTGGGTGCCGAGAGTAAGGTGAGAGTGCAGGAGAAGTGGGGGATGAAAGGAGGGGGAAAGGGCAGGATTTTGTTTATTAGTGGTCGGTGAGGAGGGAGAGTTGGGGGAGATATGATACCTGAGAGGATCTCAAGGCAACGTCGACCCTGGGTCGTACAGGAGATATGTGCGAGCACGTCCCACGAGTTGGGTATGCACTGCGCACAATTTCCGACCAAATATACAGGGGGAGTCAGTTGCGAGGGAGCCTGTTGTGTTTGGTCCGTAGGGGTTAGCAGGCTACCGCTTTCATACAGCCCACGAGATAGGGCCATGGGATCCTACAAATAGGTCAAGGATGGTGGATTACACCTGAGCTGGGGCCAGACAGCAGAGGAGACTGTAGGGTTCCAGGGCCAGTACCGGGGGCTGTCTCTATGCCGTCCTCCCTTAACCCATCTGAGGGCTCAGTGAGCGGGGGCCGGACGCCTCTGGGAAGTGAAGTGTTGCTGCAGGTACACGGTAATTCTGGAAAGATGGAAAGCTGGAAAGATGACAGGCAACAAAAGATGTTGCGAGGCAGGCCGTGTCTTCTTGGGGGACGGAGGGCCCTGTGTGCCCTTTCGATATGGTAGTCATCTTGGGCCTCCTCCCTGAGGACATGTGTAAACAGCTGTGTCATGGTCTCGTGGAGGTCCCTGACGCATATGTTGTTGCGTCTCCCCTTGTTATCCAGATCCTCCACCTGTCTGTGCAGGTTCCAGGATTACTGCACCCTGTCTGGTTGTGGCGTGGTCTGTGGCCTGTGAGTGCTGTATGGCCTGCATGTTTTCACACTCTAGTTCGGAGACCCGCTGTTCCAGAGCTGTGAGATCTCTGCATACCTCCATGATCTCCTCCCTTATCACCGCCTGGAGCTTGGTCACCATGGCGGTTTTGTCAGTTTTGGTAAACATGTTAGCCGAGAAAGCCACCAGCTCCATGGAAATCTGTGTCAGGGTTTCTCCTTTTGTGCAGCTCGGCAGTAAGTCAGCTAGGCCGTCCGCTCCCGGGGAGGCCGGTGCCATCTTGTCAGCGGGCCGCGTGTGTCTAAGGCTGTCTGGGGTAGACAAGAATTCGTCCATCGGGCCGGCATTTCTCCTCAGTGGGTAGTGCCCGAGGGTCCCCGGGTGCCCAGGCATCTAGGTTTCCCTATGGGGAGCAGTAGGTGGGAAATTATACGGGGCTATGTGGGCTGAAGTCGCGAAGCCTCTGTGGTATGCGACGTACTCCATTAACTGGCAAGCAACACACCTTTCAAGATATGATTTTTTTTTTTTTTTTTTTACATATATATATATATATATATATGTATATATATGCTAACTATATAATTATGTTTAATCATATACTAATCGTACCATATTAATAATATTAATATATTCATAGATAAAACTAATGAATGTATGTCAATATTATTAAAATTAATATTAGCTGAATGTGTGTAAAAGAATTGTATATATCACATGGCACATTTTACCAATACAGACACATTAGCTTCAAACAATAATACAGTGTAGCTGAGAAAACTAGACAGATATTTTTACTTTTCAAATTCAATGGGATCTTTACAAAACCCCATTGTAAGAGTGAGTTGAACAAAAGTCAAAATGTGTCAAAGAGATACTTTATGGCACAAAAAGGAGACTGGTAGTCTAGTAACTAGGACTAGAATCCCTTGAAGTTTGATAATCAGCTTGATGGATGGGCCAGAGAGATAAAACCTTTTTGACGTCATATGCATCACAAAATTCAAATAACCCATTAAACAAAGTGGTAGTTGGAATTCGTAATGAGAAATTATTGTGATGCTATAACGCCATCTACTGATCAATGTCTATAAGACAATCAGTAGAAGAAGGATCACCCACCTAATCCCATTGGTCACAGTGACGTAGAGAAATTTAAGATAAGAAATTCTTTGTGAGAAACATTGTATCTTTCAAGTTGCATTGTTTAAGTGTTTAGCTTGTGAGAATTGTAGCCAGCAGTGAATGAGTTGATTCTCGCAATCTGTCAGCATCTAAAGTTTTAAGGTGAGCCCAATTTAGGGAAAAACTACTAAAGGAGGATGTTCCACATTATTAAGCAGAGCACCATTTTCATGCAATGTGGGGAAGAAAAAGGATCTCTCTGCTGCCGAAAAGAGTGAACTAGTTCAATGCCTTGGACGAGGTATGAAAACATGAGATATTTCTCGATTACGTAAGCGTGATCAATGCACTATTAAGAGATTTGTGGCGGATTCAGAGCACAGACTGGTTCGTGCAGATAAAGGCACATTGAGGAAGATTTCTGCCAGATCCATGCCTCGGATCAAGAGAGTAGCTGCTAAAATACCATTACATAGCAGCAAACAGATATTTAAAGCTGCTGGTGCCTCTGGAGTCCCACGGACATCAAGGTGTAGAGTCCTCCAGAGTCTTGCAACTGTGCATAAACCTTCTATTTGGCCACCACTAACCAATGCTCACAAGCAGAAACGGCTGCATTGGGCAGAAAAATACATGAACTAATTTTCAAACAGTCCTGTTCACTGATGAGTGCTGTGGAACCCTGGATGGTCCAGATGGATGGAGTAGTGGATGGTTGGACGGCCACCCTGTTCCAACAAGGCTGCGACGTCAGCAAGGCGGTGGTGGAGTCATGTTTTGGGCCGGAATCATGGGAAGAGAGCTGGTCAGCCCCTTTAGGGTCCCCAAAGGTGTAAAGATGACCTCTGCAAAGTATGTGGAGTTTCTGACTGACCACTTTCTTCCCTGGTACAGAAGGAAGAACTATACTTTCCGTAATAAAATCATCTTCATGCATGAGAATGCACCATCTCATGCTGCAAAGAATACCTCTGCATCAATGGCTGCTATGGGGATAAAAGGAGAGAAAGTCATGGTCTTGCCTCCATCCTCCCCTGACCTCAATCCTATTGAGAACCTTTGGAGCATCCTCAAGCAAAAGATCTATGAGGGTGTGAGGCAGTTTACATCCAAACAGCAGCTCTGGGAGGCTATTCTGACATCTTGCAAACAAATTCAAGCAGAAACTGTCCAAAAACTCACAAGTTCAATGGATGCAAGACTTGTGAAGCTGCTATCAAATAAGGGGTCCTATGTTAAAATGTAACGTGACCTGTTAAATGTTTAAAAAGTTAAAATGTTGTTATAAGTTTGATTGAAATAGCTTTTGATTTCAGTAAATATGTTGCAAACACAACAAATGACAATTTTCAGTTCTTTACAACCTATAAAGTGTTTTGAAACTTACTGTGCGTAATAATTTGGAACAGTGCATTGTAAGTTTTTTATGTTTAAAAAAAAATACTGTTATCATTAGGAGGTTTGTTCAATAAAATTTGAATTGTACTTTTAATAGTTGATAACATGAGAATTATGCTGACTGTTATTTACATCAATTTTTTAGATAAATGAGAAAAATATCATTTGCATAATTTGGAACAGGGTGTATTACCGGTGGTTACTACTCCATAAATATCCTCACAATCCATCAGTTAATTCCCATCCATAAAACTGGCACGTTTCTTTTCAAACGAGTTTTATGAATGGGGATTCACAGATGATTGGATGAGAGTGTCAGCCGATCAGTGGCTTTGCTGCCAATGCTGCACGAGCCTTCTGGTTCAGAACGTCCCTAACCAAGATTGCTCTCCCAAGGTAGAAAACAGGGTTATCACTAAAGGGAGAATTCAAAGTGAAACATTCTCTAAGCCAACTATGCTTCTAACTTGGCTACTTGGGTTTTAAATTTGAAATTCACTTTGAATTCACACGTTAGTAAATATACTTGTCATATTTGAAGTTTGGTGAATAGACATGTGAGGGAATGTGCGCAGTGCTACCTTTCTACCACTGGGTGGCGGTAAATTCACATTGTATTTTATTAGAGATCTGCTGACATCAGAACCCACTGGAAATAAAATAATTGAATACATTAAAATAGAATGCTTCTTTTAACCCAATATTTACATAAAACCTGGAGTTGCTTCTTTGGCTGGCATTTCAGAATGCACTGTAACTGATTGCGTTATAGAAAGCACTGTAACTGTGTTATAGAATGCACTGTAACAGATTGCGTTATAGAAAGCACTGTAACTGATTGCGTTATAGAATGCACTATCTATAAATGATTGCGTTATATAATGCACTGTCTATAACCAGGGATGCAGAAATGAAAATTCTGTGCCGAAACCGAAAATTCAGGATTCTTACCTAAAATGACTTTTCCCCAAATTATTTTAAAAGTTTTTTCATATATATTTTTATATTAGACTTCAATGAAATTCTAGTTAATCTAAAATGAAACTCTCTTTACTGGTCCCCCTACACGTTCCTTTCACCCCCTCTTTTTAGTGTTCTGCCCCCAAAAAAAGAAAAATATTTTAAAAATATTATTTCTGGCCACTTGACCTGTTTTTTGGCTGAAATGGCTAGGCCCTATTTTCGGCCTAAAATTTCCGCAGCCAAAAATTTTGGTGCATCTCTCTAAACTGATTATGCTAGGAAAAGCAATTGTATATAAATGATTGCATTATAGAATGCACTGTAACTGATTGCGTTATAGAATGCACTGTCTATAAATGATTGCGTTATAGAATGCACTGTAACTGCATTATAGAATGCACTGTAACTGATTGAGTTATAGAATGCACTGTCTATAAATTATTGCGTTATGGAATGCACTGTAACTGCGTTATAGAATGTACTGTAACAGATTGTGTTATAGAATGCACTGTAACTGACTGTAGAATGCACTGTATATAAATGATTGCATTATAGAATGCACTGTAACTGATTGCGTTATAGAATGCACTGTCTATAAATGATTGCGTTATAGAATGCACTGTAACTGCATTATAGAATGCACTGTAACTGATTGAGTTATAGAATGCACTGTCTATAAATTATTGCGTTATGGAATGCACTGTAACTGCGTTATAGAATGCACTGTAACTGATTGCGTTATAGAATGCACTGTCTATAAATGAATGCATTATAGAATGCACTGTAACTAACTGATTGTGTTATAGAATGCACTGTAACTAACTGTTATAGAATGCACTGTAACTAACTGATTGCATTATAGAATGCACTGTCTATAAATGATTGTGTTATAGAATGCACTGTCTATAAATGATTGTGTTATAGAATGCACTGTAACTGATTGCGTTATAGAATGCACTGTCTATAAATGATTGTGTTATAGAATGCACTGTAACTGATTGCGTTATAGAATGCACTGTCTATAAATGATTGTGTTATAGAATGCACTGTAACTAACTGATTGCGTTATAGAATGCACGGTCTATAAATGATTGCGTTGATAATGACCTCTAAATGACCTGCTTTTGCCTGGGTGCCTATAAAATGCGCTCAGTTATTATAGTGAATAAACATTTGTACACAAATACAAATATACACAAGGTGGAGTATCTTACATGCAGTATGAAAAAGTTTTGTATGATAAATCCTTAACCCCTTAAGGACCAGGGCTGTTTTGGCCATGTTGTACGTTAAGGACCAGCAGTGGCGTACACACAACCCATGGGGCCCCGGTTCAAAAACTGATCCGTGCCCCCCCCGCGGGCCGGGGCCGCAACACATGGCAGCGGGCACCTGGTCGCAGGGGTTACAGGGCTGCGACTCCTGCGATCGCGGTATGTACGCCAGTGCATGCAGATACACATACACTTAAAGGATCACTACAGACACCTAGATCACA